TGAGAGTTGCACACATTCGAACAAGAGTTGGACATACCTTCACAAAAGCTAGATATTGCATTATAACTACTAGACACAACTGGACAAGACTTGGATACAGTAGGACACCTTAAAGATGATGGTGGACAGAAGAAATTGGGCAAAGGAACATTCAACTAGTACAGGCCTCCCTTGAGTTCCCTTTGTAGTAATATTGCTCTAGTCAACCTATCCTTAACATAACATCAATCAGCATTAAACTCCACAACAACAGCATTCTCTGCAGTGAATTTTGAAATGCTTAAGAGATTCTTAGTAATAGAAGGTACACACAAAATGTTTTTAAGATATAAACATTTAAAATGAAGAGTACTAGGAAAGGAAGTATGTCCAATATGTAAGATAGGGAGATATGTACCATTACCTACTTGAAACTAACTTACACCATCATAACTCTTACTGACACTTAGGTGGTTTAAGTCTGTGGCAACATGATTTGTGGGACCTGAATCCATATACCACACAGGATTAGATGGAGTAAAAGAGGTGGCAAGAGCAGAGTGTATGGTTAGGGAATTGTGCTATGAGCATGAGCCAACAGGTCCATTACTATTCTGAATGAAAGATCCTATACTGGTGGCAACAAGAAAGGCTTGATTGTTTCTTGTCATCTGTTGACTAGGAACACCAAGAGAGTTATGGGACATTTTTAGATTGATGTTGTGGAATGGCTCGGTTTTGAAAACTATTATTGTGATGAGAAGAACTAGGAGAGAAAACCTGATAGGAATGAAATTGTTGAGGTCTTGGATGAGTAGGGTTTGAATTAGTAGTAGTATAGGTATTAGAGAAATGCTACTGAGAATTGGACATTGGTACTGAGGATCCATATGCAATGGAAGGCCTATATGCTGATAAACCATAAGTAGGAGAAGGCTACTGAACATTAGGCATTTGTGTTGGTGGATCATAAACATTGTGAGCTAGCTATTGAGTTCCATTAAAACCACCATTGTAAGCACCATTATAGGCTGAATTGAAACATTGATAGTACTGGACAGCCGAGTGACCAGCCTTGTTACAAACTTGACAGATTAGTCTATTTTTGCCAAAACTTCTACCTCTGCCTCTTCCATACGGTTGAAAACCAGTAGGTTTGGAGTTAAACATAGGAAGAGATTGTTGCATTGAGTTGGTATTGTAATTCTCAGTTGCTGGAACAACATATTGTTGCTGATAGTGTGGATTCCCTAACGAGATGAGAGAGAAAAGCAGAAGGTGGTGGAATAGGAGAAGATTTAGCTTTGGAAGGTGAATTAGTTGAAGAAGCTACACTTGTCACATCACTAAGTACTCCAGGATTGCTAACAGATGCTAAATTGGCAAAACTATTATACAAATTAGTGGAGTTAAATTTTTCCAATTTAATATCATATATTTGCAATAAAAATTGAGCCTCCTACAATGTGACAGTATCAACCTTCGATTCTAGCCTACAGGTAAGATTCACAACTACTTCATCATATTCAAGCCTTAGACCATCTAAGACATATTGTAAAAGATCTTCATCAAAGACAACCAATCCACTAGCAGATAAGGTCTCGGCTATTTCTTTCATTTTCTTTATGTAATCTCCAATACTCAAATTGCACTTGTGCGTTGTCTGTAACAAATTTTTAAGGTGTAATGCTCTTGCTTTGGAATCACTTATAAACTCACTTGGAAGAACAATCCAAATTTCTGTAGAGTTCGACACACCCCCAATTCTAGCCTACAGGTAAGTTTCACAACTACTACATCATATTCAGGCCCTAGACCATCTAAGACATATTGTAAAAGATCTTCATCAGAGACAACCAATCCACTAGCAGATAAGTTCTCAGCTATTTCTTTCATTTTCTTTATGTAATCTCAATACTCAAATTGCACTTGTGTGTTGTCTGTAACAAATTTTTAAGGTGTAATGCTCTTGCTTTGGAATCACTTATAAACTCACTTGCAAGAGCAATCCAAATTTCTATAGATTTCGACACAACTCCAAACATACTCTCAGATATAGAGGCCAGAAGCTAGCTTAAAAGGAATTTATCGGTACGTTTCCATAGAACATATGCAGATTCAACTTATCACCAATAGAATCATAACTAGTCTTAAGCTCTCCTCTAAGCTTACCTAAACCACTATCAATTTCAGAATTAGACAATAAAAGAAGAGGAGGACATGGAATTTTACCAAGCAAATGATCCTCAAGCTCATGTGATCCAACCTTAAACAAGACTTGTGAGCTCCAAAAATGGTAATTGCTAGGTGTAAGCTTCGGATTGATAACTTGCAAGCTTAAGGCTTGAGCTAAGGTGGAGAGATTTGTAGATTCTTTAAGAATTTGTGAGGTGGAATGATGAACAGAGTCTCTTAACATATCTTCGAAGCTGCTAAGCAAGGAAGAAGAGCTAGAACCTTTACCAGATTCTTTTGCCATTGATGCTAGTCAATGCTCTGATACCATGTGGAAATGACAAAGAACAAATGAGAAGACGAATTTGAGAGAGTAATTTGAGTAATGCAATTTGTTGTTAGGAAACGATCATACATGGTAGCGGAAACAAAAATTTTTAAACCTTATAGATCATTCCTTAGAACCAAGATCAGGGCAATAAAATTTTACAGTTTATACAACATATTAAAATCTGTAGAAAAATAGCTCAAGGTTAAGAAACCATACCCACATTTGGAGGCTTCTCCAACTTGTCTCGGAATGGGTTTAGCTACCGACCCAAGTGTAGGATTGAACCAATGTAGTCCACACGAAGACAACCTTAAGAAACTAAAGAGGGATTTGCTTGATCCTTTTTAGCCTTTAAGAACCAAGATGAAAATCAAATGAAATATCTGATTCAAGCAAAAGAAATCTAGCGTGGGAGAGAAGAAAAAGGGGCTGGAATATTTGCTTTCAATGATTGAATAAATTATTAAATAATTCACAAAGTGTTGCACTTATATAGTGCACATTTGCCCTATTCCATCATGGAATAGGTTTGGGCTCCAACCCAAACACCCCCTGTATCCAAACAGCCCCTTTAAGATATTTTAATTTTAATTATTATTGTTATTTCAATTAAATTAAATTAATATATATATTTCATATATAAACATTTAACAATAACAATAATTCATTTAAGTATATGCGAACACATATTTAAATATAATTTCACTTATTTTATTTAATTAACAAATTAAACAAAGACTACGACCTCAGCAAATTTAATTGCACTGTGAAATTACCAAAATACCCTTTTTCACCTAAAAAGACGAAACGCCCTTCTTACAAATTGGTTCTTAAATTATCTTCTATGTGTGTTACCCGTAGGCTCCTTATCATACCAGCAGTGTGTAGTGTCGCGATTAACACCAATTAATTTTCTCACTACACACACACACACCAACATTTGCTCTTAGCAAGGCATCATGGCCACCCAATAGATTCGGATCCAGCGAAGCAGCTACCTGTCAATGATATGGTTACCGTACAATCCAATTCTTTCATCAAATGTTATCTCGACGAGACCGAGGCATAGAAATAGTGTCAACCTCAGTTACTCTTGATATTATGTATTCAGTTACTAGACCAATGACCTGAATTGTAAACTCTAGATAGAGCAACAACTCAATCCCACTATGGCCACAGTTTTTAGTGTCATTGCCATTTACTGAATTGCGCCGTGAGATAAATTCTCCCATACCCGAGAGTGATAAATCCTCTGTCGATCCACCATAGTCTTGATACACTCCTTGAGGCAACCAATCACCACCGTATTAACAGCTTTAAAAAGAACTACGTTGGGGTAGTGTCAAACTACACCAATCGGTGCATAAGGCGCTCCGGTGATCTCAAGTCTAAGGATCACATGCACCACCATTTGTTAGAGGATTTGTTCCATAGACACTGGGGTTACCATCTATATGGAATCCTCTGGTGGGTCAGTCCAGTGAACTTGCCTACAGCAAGCACCCATGTGTTGCACCAGGTTGTCACCAAACAACCTTGACAAGTGAGATCAGTCACTGCCTTTCGACAAAGTCGTTCAATACTATGATAGCCTTACCGTATTTTTTGTGCCCTTACTTCAGAACAATAATGAGGCCATAGATATTTCTAGAATGACCACCATATATGCTCATAGGGTTCTCACTATCAAGATTTAAAACACTTGATACCCTCATCACGGTTCTACCATTCGAAGGATATATATCAATACATACAATGATGATTTACGCGATATAGAATAAAATGTCTTTTATTGATCAATAAACATTATTACAAAGAGTCAATTCTACAATAATTGATTAGCTCTAGGGCATCTACTCTAACATTTGTGGAATCTTCTTTCATTAGAAAAACAAAGTACAATCAATTACTCTATTTTTATAAACAAATGAAAGTAAAGTGGTTTCTAGAAACGTCACACACTAACTAAGGTCAATGTGTCTATAACGACACAGTATTGACCAAAGCCAAATTACAATTGCAGCCTTTTAGCAAATTAGTCAACAAAAATAATCCGGACACCCCGATTGATATATGCTCCAAATCATTATCTCAACCAGCCTTCTAAATGCAGAAAATGATCTCTGACATAATTGCAAGAAATTAAGATTCAATTTATTTGATAGGTTTGTGAGACCCACAAAAGTAAATATATTAGATGGTTTTATGGATATAGAGAATAGAGTGTCGGCAGTAGATTTAAACAGATTACAAATCATTTTGAGTGGGGCAGTATAGATACGGGAGCAGATTTTGTTGTATAAAATATGTAGAAATTGCAATTGGGAAATTAAATCAAGCGACGGGCATGAGACGTGTTTAAATTGTAATTAATAAACATTAACGTTAGAGGGTAAGGCATTACAATATTCCTGACCCACAAACGTCAATATAAAGGGAAGACCAATCTATCCTTTATCGTTCTATTTATTCTCCCAATATTGCTTTTGAAGATTAAAATTGTCAACAGAGAAAGATGGCTCAAAGTGGAAAGCTTGAGATTGATTTAGAAATCCAGGCACCTGTGGAGAAATATTACCACATTTCAAAATCTAATCCCACCATCTTCCCAATATAGCTTCTAACAATGTAAAGGGAGTTGATTTGCATGAAGGAGATTGCGACAAGGAAGGCTCCATCAAGACCTGGAAATATACTGTTGGTAAGGCAAGTAATATATAACCTAGACTCTTATGTTTATTAATTATTATTTCTAGAATTCTAGTAATCAATATTATAGCATCGATTGATTTCAAGTGACAAGAAATTAAAGAAAAAAAGAAATATAACAAAAATCGATTTTGATATATATAGTCAACTCAACATACTAAATAATTATAATGTACCAATGAGGAAATGACTTTCTCTTTTTATATATATATATATACAAAAAAAAAAATTAATTAAGATGTCCTTATATTTATTTTGTTAGGATCATGTTTAATCGCGGTTAGATTTTTATCTATAAAATATTATTTCAGTTTAAAGAGTGAATCTAACGGTATTGAAACATGGTTCTAATAAAATTAATATTAAAACATCTTGACTGGAGAATTACTCTCTCAATATATATATCCACCTGTATAATTTTCATGAAGCTGCTTGATTATAGATGCTTTAATTTCATGCTAAACTGGAATGAATGTACTAATTAGGTTAATTAACACATTATAAGAGTTCATAAAATATATTTTTTTTTTTCTTGGTGATTACATATTAGGATATTAAAGTAGTTTGGGATTTACTGATTTACCCTTACTTTGTATTATAAAAAGCTTGTAACAGTGACAGTTATTTGATTAACGAAAATATTAGTCTTCTTCTTCACTTCCCCTGTTTCTTTTCAGCTCACTAGGTTTGCATTTCCTCTCTAAATCAACTTTACAGAAGGAAGAGAGGAGACCTATAAGGAAAAGATTGAAGTAGATGACCAGAAGAAATCCGTAACTCTTGTTGGATTGGATGGAGATGTGTTCAAGAATTACAGGAACTGGAAGGCAACATTTCAAGCCACTCCAAAGGATGAGAAAAGCTGCGTGGTTAAACATATTCTGCAATACGAGAAATTGAATGAGAATGTTCCAGAGCCACATGCGTACCTAGATTTCATGGTTAAAGTTACTCAAGACATAGCAGCATATCTTGTCAAGCAGGCTTAGAAGAGCTCAAATGACTACGTTTGTCGATTTTACTATGCATAACTACTCTTTATAATGTGCAATAATTTACAATAATGTTTACTTAAAACCGACTAGTAAGCTGGTTTAAATAATGTGTGAGATTATGTGAGAGATCTTGTGACGAGAAAATTATATAATATAATAAATGTTGTGATTAATGGCGTGATAAACATGTTTCATAGGTTGGTCACTTGGTTGTTTGCTTGGTGGTTTCTTCCTATATCTGTTTTACTTCAGTAACATTAGAGGTACAGGAAAATGAAAGGAAATTATTTAAAAATAAAAAATAAAGATAGGAACTATTATTTCAATTTTTGCTTCTAAATTGTTATATATAAGATGAGAACATGTCGTCGAGATATATTACTTCCAGCCCATTTCCACGTGGAGCTCTTGTTTTCACATGACACAACATCTTGAAAAGAAAAAAAAATCCTAATTCCTTTGGACGTACTCTTTAATAAGTCATTATTTTTTAGCTGGTGAGAAGTTTGAAAGTCTATTGAAACATTCATTTGCCATTGCTCTGTCAAGCTCTGGACTTTCACTGCATATATATTTGCCATTGCTAATTATGGTATTTTTATAAATTCTGTAGAATATTCATTTTTGTCAAACTTATGAGTTATGTGTGTACAACAGTTATGTGTGCAGACTGGTTGTCAATTCTCTTATTTGAATTGTTTCATCTATTGTATGTGTGCACACCAATTCTCAGTGCACACTGTTTTTCGATTTACTTTGTGGTCTAAACAAAAAGAAGTAATACTTTCCTTATTTGAACAAACAATAGGTCAGCCCCTTGTTGGCTAATATGGCACTTAATTGCTGAGAAAAAAAACTCTTCATTATATATTTCTTCTTTTGCATAAATGAACCTAACCTTTTTGAACATTTTTTTTTTTTTTATTCTGTACTCTGAATTTCTTAGAGTATTATTTCTCTTAAAGGTTCAAGGTTCCTTCTCCATTAGTGCCAAAACCTCATCATATCAAACATTGACTTGATGGCTCTTGGAATGTGGTTCCTTTGCTGATGCTGGTGTGTTGCTTTAACACTTGAAGCTTGGTGGTTTACAAGTTGTTCATGGGTGAGTTCCCAGCGTGAAGTAGATCCGAAGAAGTTGCTAAACGTTAAGGATTCAGAGCGTGGTGCTAAGTATAAAGTTGAACAAATGAGTTCTTTTTATTGTAACTTAGATCAGCTTTGAACTATATCTTGTAATGTGTTTTTACTTAGTGGATTGCTTCAATATGGACAAGGTCCCATGGATGTAGGCTAAAAGTGGATTTAGCCTAACCATGTATATGACTGTGTTCTTTACTTTCCACACTTATGTTTGATGTGTTCAAATTGGAATTGCTTAATCAACTCGGTAATATTCCGCTGCACCTTAAAATGGATACTGTTGATGCTTGATTTTGACACCAACTATTCGCACGTGGGAAATGCTGAGCGGACTCAGAAGCCACACGTGATTATGGAAGTGCTTAGTTAATTGAAGGGCGAAGAACAATGTTTAAAGTGGTTCGGATGCTCATAAGGCGAATCCTACATCCACTGATATTGTATTGATGAGTGAAGTCAGGTCGTGTTTAGTGAACTGAGTTACAATTTAGAGAATACAAATGAGAGAGAAAGAGAGCATGCTATTCTAGAGTGAAATTAGCCAATCCCACAAATGGGAGAGAAGTCCTCTTTTTATAGTGGGATGAACCATGGTAATGATTACCAAATTTGCGAGTGGGGTAGATGCTGTGCAAATCCATCTCTACGTCCCATTGCTCACCTGCCCAAGTAATTTCCTTGACTCATGCAGGGATTGGACACGTGGATCATTTCCCGCCATTCGCCAACCTTGCGTACACCTATTGCACTGGCAGGAGCACGCCACTCACGTCATCACGCGACGTGGCCGCATCTAAGCGATTGTAGAGCCTTCTTAAGCTTTGACCAACCATGCTGACAAGGCTCTGCGTCAATAATAGAAGTCCCCCAATTTTTCAGGTTTGAGAATCGAACCTTGAGAACTACACAATTATGCCTTGATTTGATATGTGTCGAATGACGCCCGATCAATCCGACCTAGATGCAAGGAGGTCGCAAGACATTTCCATATGGGCGACCTGAAATGGTCTTCTTCTGCAAGGTTTACGACCTGGACCAGACCTTATTCAGTGTCATATTGATGCAGCTTTTATCTTGACCGAGGTTTGCAACCTGGTTATACTTAGCGTATTTCTTGCTAGAGGAAATGAGTCACATCGCTTCGCAACAGACATGCGGCAAAGAGTGTTTTATCGAAGGACCTCTTTAGATGTTTTCCGTTGCGCTTTGGCAGCTAATACATTAGTAAAACACCTTTTGCTTTGAAAGACATGTCGTATGTGCAATAAATAAGTGCCAGCCATACGCATTAAATGTAAGCCATGCTGAAACGACATTCCTTATCAGAGCATTAAATGCTAATGAGAACGCATTTAATGTGGAGAAGGGAAACGAGCCGTCGCTCGATTATTTCAACGGAGGGAAGCGACGATTTGATTTCTTGAAGCGTGGCGATTACTCTTCCCTATTGATTGATGACATATGGTTACGATCAATGACGAGAGATGATTTTCTTTCAAACGTCGCTTGGCTTCAGGAAAACCAAGCGCCATTTCCTTCACTATAAAATCCCAGGCTCATCTCAACCAATGTCACAATACTTCTCTTTTTTCAGAAAGAGCAAGAGGCTTTTCGTGAGACCAGATTTTCCACCTCCTAGATTATCGTTCACAATAGGAAGTTTCATCTTCATACTCAAGAGGTAAAGATGATTCTTTCATTGCTTTTTCTTTTTCTGTTTTGACAATAACCATGTGATAACGGTGGGTGTTTGCTAGTGGTTAATCAAAGAATAAGCTTTCCTCTAGGGTTTGAGTCTTTAGGGGTGGCCCCCAAGGATTCTTAAGGTTTCCTAGGGTTTAAGGAAGATAGTATTTACCTTTTCTTCCATGTCATCGTACGGATCTTCATATGACGATTGAGTAATTCCTGCATGTCGCTCTTTTTCAGACCGTAGATGAAATGGACCCTTCAATGACCAGGACAGATGAGGGAACGAGCTCGTCGATGTAGGATGCCCCAACGGGTCCCTCACAAGAAATCCTATCAATAGCCACAGTAGAGGAGATTCAAAGAGTAGTAGACTAGTACACACTTAGCATAGACATCTATCAGCATAGGACATATACATCTCAGAATCTGCCAGAAGGAATGGCTGTGATCTCCAATAACATTTTTAAGTGCAGAGCGTTGATTCCCTTTCACCCTTTCATAAGGTCAGTCCTCGATCACTTTGGGGTTGCACTATTACAGTTAACGCCAAATGCGTATATGATAGTAGTGGCTATGTATATCACATGTGGCGAGAACGGCCTAGGCAAGCTCACCATGCTAGAGCTCGGATGCTCGTACTATTTGAAGAAGAGTAAAGACAAAGACTCTTTTTACCTCACGAAGCGATCTACGATCGAGGGAGGAATACACAGTTACCCTAGCAACGTCGAGGTGTATGAGTGAAAATTTTTCTTTTTTAACTATGACAACATTTGCCAATTTAAGGAGCCGAGTAGGTTTTCCTTTCTTTTTCTTGGCAAATTTTCTTTCTTTTAACCTTTGCTAACAAGCTTTCTTTGTTTCTTCATAGTAAACAAGACGACCAGATTGTCGGCTCTTGTCGATTTTAACAGAATAACCGCCTTCGATTTTCTGCTCTAACACAGTCGCGGCGTGAGGCTGCTCATGACAACCGCGAACTTACGAAAATATGGGTTTTTCAACCCTGAAGCGACCTTGGAAACCTTACCGGGTAAGTATCCATAACCTTAGCCAACTTTGCTATTTATATGGGTGAACTGTTTTACTAATGATGTTTGCATGTAGCGACCATGCCACCCAAGGTACGCAGGTTTTGAGAGCGAGGGAGTTCACCTTCCCTTTGGTAAGTGCCACAAGACCATTCGGGGTGGTCCCCAACGGTCCCCCTGTCAAAGGGACACTAGCAGCGATGTCGGTTTGACCAGTGAGTGCTCCCCAACCTGTAATTGCTCATCCCAAACAGAAGACTATGACCCATAAGTCCAAAAAGAGGAAGCAGCTTCGGGTCGAGCAGTTAGAGTCTGAGTCGGAGGGCTTAGGCATTCAGCCTAGGAGGTCGCAACACTACCAAGCCTTCTGTTCAGGGGGGCCTCCCAAGGGCACGACTAGCGCCACATTGCCCTTGAAGGTCCGCCAACAAGGCAAGGGGTGGTCGTGGATCCCAAGAGGACAGTAGGCAAGGAACCAGCGGGTGAGGTGCCACCTAGCGTAGGAACGGGCACCCTTGTGTTGGACTCCATGGGGCAATTCCCGGAGCATCTATAACCGGTCATGTTTACCCTACTGGAGTGCTAGCTCATAGAGGCATTTGAGCAGTTCGTGGCCTTTAACCTCGTGGACTTGATGACCATGGCCTTCCAGCATCAAAGCCGGGTAAAATGATTTGTCCTCGTCGAGGACTTTCTTACATTTTCTTACTTGTTAATGGAAAAGAATTTAACCCTTTGCTCTTTTCGCTTCACAATCCCTGCTCGCCATATGCCTGGCCTAGTAGAAGACTCAGTTGGGGGGGCTGCTGAGGGGCTGGTCGAGCTGAGAGAAAAGAATGTACGGCTTAAACGAGACATAGAAGCCGCACAAGTAAAGAAGAATCTATCCACAATTCAGACGAACCAATATCTATCTGAGAGGAACGTTGCGCTTTGCATAGTGGATTTTCAGAAGGCCGAGCTGGAGAATAGAGGAGAGGAGGTTAAAGAGCTCCAAAGGACAATGGCCATACTCACCAAGGAGGCTGGCGAGAAAGAGTTGAAGCTATGAGCGAACTTTGAGTGGGCCTTGTGAGTAAAGCAGGAAAGAGCGTAGTTGTGGGAAGCCACCGAAAAGCAAAGGTGGGCACTTGAGGCTGAGCTCTAATTCTCCCAGGGTTGCGTCGTTTTGCTAACCAAAGGGATGCAGCGATGAGAGCTAGAGATTGAGAGGAGGGCTACCGACTAGTCGATCTAGTCCATTTATGCCCTTTGGCCAAAGAATCCCAAT